GCGGGAGTAGTCATGAGTTTTATTTTAACCTATTATATTCCTTTAAGTTGCTCAATGAAGGAAGAATAGATTGTGCTTTTCAGCAAAAATCCAAAATAGACTTGTCTCTCCTTTGAACCCCACCCACCCACCCACCAATAAAAGATGGTGGCATGCTAGGATAACTAAATTTGCATTTGCTTGGCCTTTTCCAAATATCTAAATGAAGATTCTTCCTTTCTTCATACATCATTTAAGAAAGACTTTCAGTAAGACTGAACTAAAACCAAACATGTGGTGTATTTAATGGGGGAAAATCATCCGGAAAAAGTAATTTCTTTCTATCTCAATTATTATTAGAAGTTTAGAAGGAACACAGACTAGGGGGAAAAAATACTGCTTTCTTCAACGTAATGGTAAAAAGGCAACATTGCCTTCACTCTGATTTAGCTTTGTGAAGTTGTCACAGAACTGTACTCAATTACCTGAGACCAGATGTCATCAAGCAGGCTATATTATCACTGATTGGTTTAATCAGGTAGCCAGAAAGGACTCCCCAGTCCCATCTTTTATTAAAAAAATATACTATAACACCATCTGAGACAGGTAGAGTTAAACTGTGAAAACAGAAAGTCCATTGGGGAGGCAGCATCTTTTAGACAATATGGATTTTTTTTTTTTTGGCATGAAAAGCATTCACATACTGTATAATGTTTGGCTCAGCCATTCTCATAATGTCTCTACTTATAGCTTCTGCTAAACTCCCTTAACACATGAAAAACGTTCACATTTTAAAACATGTTATGGCTCCGTGACCTCTCCATATGCTAATTTAAAAAGGAGGGAGGAGGGACCAAAGAAACTAAAATACTTGGTCATCTCCACTGAAGTTTTACCTGCTAAGGTGTTCTGACTTTTCAAGTAATTATTTTGCAGGCAAGATCTTTGGGATAGAAGATCTTTGAAGCCCTTACTGTCCTTAGTCAAAACCTGTTGAAGAGAGGCAGATACTGGAGTGTTCACAGCCCTGGACAAACCCCTTGGAGAACCAAAGCTAAGGATATAATCAACTGCATGATCCATGTTTTCAAAATATTGAAACAAATGTGGAATCAAGAGACCATCTGGAGATGTGGTTAAGAATGCAATCAACTGCACGATCAGTGTTCTTCAAAAGAATGAAACTCGTGTCCTGTCATATGACTACTGCAAATCCAGAATTTATGAGCTATGGGCTACAAGGCAAGGGATCTGTATATCCAGAGTGTACAGTTGGTGGCAGGAGAGCAACACCTGTTGTATGCCAAGTCCACACTCCAAAATGGGTGTGGCCAGGATAAATTAAATCACTGAAGCCCAATTATTCCTCATGTATTTAACAGTCCTGTCCAAAGTGGCTTGCTTTCATTTGGATGGGGCCTCAGAGCTGACATGATGTTTCTACTCAAAGTAAAGAAATAACACGATTTTCCTTGGTGAAGCATCTTGCATTGCCTAGAAGGCCAAACTAGCAAATCCAATAGTAGGAAGAGATCATATATAAACACCCCAGGGAACAAGCCTCATTCATCTAGGAAGATTCATCGCAACAACAGAACTAGAACAGGTCAGATGCTCATAGAAATGCCTAATCAGGCTTCCTCCACTGAACTGAGAACGTGTGACACTTTTTTGTCTTTGCCTTTGCTTCATCCTAAGATCAAATGCACCAGATCAAGATCTGCTGTATGCCCCACGTGTGTTTTCTACACACAGCATAGAAGATCACATAAACTGTTTTTATGCATAGCAGCAAGATCACACTGGTTGCCCTGCCCTTAGCTTGACACTATGCTCCCAATGGCCACGTGCCATTTCTCCTGCCCTCTAAAGGCAATAGGGCTGACATAATTAGCAAGAAAGGTTTTGCACATTTAGCTATTTGTGTGTAGGGGGGATTGGGGCCTCACATTTTCTCCGCAGTTGAGAAAGACGTCCGGTGAGAATTTTGGGCTGTTCCGGAGGTCTCAACAATTAGGATTAAAATTGGGTATCTGCAAATGCTAGTGATCTTCTTTCTTGGTTCCATCTTCTCATAACAATCCAAACCACAAAATTCACATCTCCTGAAGCATTCATGCTCCTCTCTTTATCCTTTTGCTGAAGTCTAATCTGCCTTTTTATTCTCAGTCAAGACATTTCCCCTTTACCTTTATTATCTAACGCCCTAATGGTGAATTGTCAAAAAGACAATAGATAGCTTGCCTGATTCACTCGCAATGAGGATTCAGAAACAATCTGGATTGCTAATTGGAGCCAACATCTTCCATTTAAAAGGAGGAAAGATCACTGGAAAGTTTGGACACATTTCTGTTTAACCTTGGATGGATGACAGCTTGAACTTTAGGCAGCTACATTGAGACTACGCATCCCTGTCTGCCAGTGATCACACTAGGCTGCTGGCAGAGTGTATTCTGGACTACAGCTCCCCAAATCCCTTGCTATCAGCTATGCTGGTGATGGGAGTCGGTTCAAACATCTAGAGATCACCAAGTTGCCTTCTCTTGCATCTTCCAGATGACTGTTGTAAAAGAAGGAAGAGGAGGAGGACGGTATTCAAAAGCTGGTGTGAAAAGTCAATATAACCATGTTTTGATATTTAAAACTAAAATTCTATAGTGCTCTGACAGCAGCTAGGTTATGGAACAGCTGGAAAAAAAAAAACTTCTCTTTCAGAGTGACAGATTACAAGCAAGCAAGTAGCGCTACCCGAATGACACATACCACATCCTTGAGAATTTGGCACCACTTCTCCAGTAGTTAAGACTGTTTGGAAACCACTCTTGCATCCCAAGTAAACTTTGGGAGATGTGCCAGAATCTCCTCTTCCAGGGAAACGGATAGAAGTGTCTGCTTGGAATTGTTTGTTGTCCAAATGGAGGACAAAGCCACCGCTCTTGATCAGCTCTTCAAAACGCCCAAGGAGGTTCTCACCAGCCATGGCTTTCTCTATCAGAAAATGAAGGAAATCAGGGCACTAATTAGAAGCATCCCAGCATGAAAACACTGACAGGCACGTGCTATCTGCACCCTCCATTGAAATGAATGGATAAATCAAAGAGAAGAGACCTACTCTCTTAGTACTTTGCTGATTAGACTCAGCACTTTTTCAAGGTGGTACAAGGCATTCCATCTGGCAGCAGACCCAAGAGAAAGATCTTCTGTGGATGCATGGATACACAGAGAAACCCTGGAAGTGGCTGTGCCAAATTTTCAGGAGGATGCAATTTGATGATTCAAGGAGAGGCCCTTTTGTCCTAGCACAGAGCAAAAGAAGGGCCTCTAAACTATTCGTGCAGCTGTACTGCTTATATTAAAAGTTTGAAGGCTGCTAGCTATCATCTTTTGAATTAAGTGGTATTATTATTTATCACTAATTGGCAACAGACATAGACTTATCCTGATCTCCCTGCCAAGGATCTTTTTTTCAACCCTGTCCCATGATTTAAGGGGAACTTAATAGAAGGATTTTTGTGGGTAGAAAAGGGGAAAAAATAATTTGATTTACATTTTCAAGCTAATGTGTGGATTGAAACTCAGTGATCCTTTAAAATTGCACTTCTCCGAATCTTTTAAAAATATGAATTAAAAAGGATATGTCTGGGGAAAGTGCACAGATAGAGGTTATACTTTAGTGACAATAACATAAATGATGAATCATCTTAAAGAGCATCACTCACAAATAAAGTGTATATGAGGCAGAAGAATGGAAGTCTCAGGAAAAATATGCACCAGAAGGCATGCGAATGTTTATGAAAACATGATGACCTGAATTTGAAGACTGGAAAAAATGGAAAATGGAGGCAAACCAAATTTGTCTTTCCTAGTTCCTGAGCAACTCCTATTTTTCGGAACAAAAATAAAATAAAAAGTTTCTTCAGCTGAGGACTGCATAGTGAGATGAGGAGACACATTTTTCAGTCAAGTTCCTTGAAACCAGTCCATCGTGTGCTCCTGAGGGCTTGGGAACATACATCCCTATATATTTTACAAGTTTATCATAACAAATCTTGCTCTGTTATTTCTCCCTAGTGCAAAAAAATATGTCCAAAATACATGGACTTCACTTCCTTTCAAATTATTTCAATGTCTCTTATGGTTTTTCTCAACATTTAAAGATTGACTTTGCTGGTTTATAATATAAACTACCATGGTTCTTTCTGCAGTTACTGAATAGCCCTAATTATTTCTCTGGTGGTCTAAACAGCTTTCCAAGGCAAAAATGTAATACAGGCCTAAACTCATCTTGCCCTTTGATGTATACAATGTATTTCAGACATATGAGCAAGCAGAGGGTTTTCCTCCGTTTAATCCAGCCCAGATGCACGGATATAAATACAAATAGATTTCAGAACGGGTTACCACACAACTATTTTCCTCACAGGCAGCTTCTGGGGATGGTTATAATTTGGTCTTTCTTAGGAAAATGACAGACCAATACATTCAGAGTTTAGGAATTCCAAATTGGAAAATGAAAGTGTACATGACTGTTGGGACTGAATTATTAATCTATTTATGGTGTCTGCAACCTAACCCAAATCTTAGACACTAATATTAATACAAAGGAAATCCAAGCTTGACATTCATAATATGTTTCTTGGGGTGGAGGGAGGTAGTTTTCTTTTGAAGAAGCTTTTCAAGCTGGGGAAAAATAACACCAGAATTTCTAGGACTGAAGCAGAAAACCAAGCAATAATCCTTCCTTCCTTCCTTCCTTCCTTCCTTCCTTCCTTCCTTCCTTCCTTCCTTCCTTCACAACTGCTATTGATGATCCCTTCCCAATACACTCCCTTTCTCAGTTGGTAAATACCAGCTGAGACACAGCAGAGAATTAGATCCTCTTTGACAAATACATTTAAGTATGATCCCACTCCAAAGCACAGTTAAATCAGACTTTGTTGTGGTGATGGTGGAGCTCCTGTGAACTCAAATAATCAACTCATTTTAAGGAACTAGAACAAAACATTTCTTGAATTTTCAATAATTTATGGCAGGCTTTTTCATTAGATGTCCAATACACTGACATATTTCAAGAGGATGGGGGGCAATAATATTTTAGTCAAAACAGCTACATTAAGCTAGAAATATTAAACTAACCAATGTCATATAAATCAGGAAGTGAGGCAGCTGGCACATCTCTGAGCATAGCTTGCCATGTGATGTTCACTCCCAGACGGTCAGCAGCCATACACTGGACCAAGACAGCAGAATCACCACAAACTGGAATAGATACCAAGTTCTCCAAAGTATTGACCTTAGAAAGAAAGACCAGATTTTGTTATTGTTGTTGTTGTTGGGGATTTGAATTCAGCCAGAGCTCTTGTTTAAGGATATGCTCCTAATCACAAGCAGAGTACACATAATTTCCAAGTAATTGAGCGGCAGAACATTCCATTAAAAAAACAATCTCTTTATAATACAATTATCTTGGATACAGAGTTTGAGCTTAGCCCAGCTATCAATGAATGCCAGCAGACATTCATTACACTTGAAGTAAAAGTTAGATTGATTAAGAAATACATCGGATAGAAGAGAGACGGAGAAGCACAAGAGCAAGAGAAAAAGACAGGACATTCCCCTTTGCCTCTCAAAAAAGAGACTCATTTTACTAACAATAGGTCAGATGAGAAACAGAGGCAGGGACAGCCTGTGAAGACCCTTCCCCTAATCTAGCTCTCACCAATTTTCCTTGCAACCCCAGCAGCTCGTAGGTGTAAGAGAGGCATAAGGGACTGTTGCTGTAGGACAGACTGGAAACTAAGGGGAGATTGAAGGAACTTGAGAAGTGAAGGCTGAGGAGGAGAATACTTTCAGATGCTTTTCTAGTATCTGAAAGGATGTCACCCAGAAGAAGCCTGTGAATCACTTTCTGCCATCCCAAGTTTCAGACATGGAGTCACATTCTTAAATTACAGGGAGGCAGATTCTAAATTCCTAAAAGTAGGGAAGAGATGGGTCCCCTTTGCCAGATGTGTTCAAGCAAAGGCCATTGAGACATTTCTCAGGGATTCCTGCAGTGAGCAAGGAGCTGGTTTGGGAAGCATCAATGGCCCCTTCCAACTCTATGATTCTGTGCAGGGAGGACACCAGACCTATCGTCTGCAGCCCATTATTAACACAACCAGTCCATCTCTTTCCCTTACTTACTGGTCTACAACAGAAGATTTAAACAAGGAACTTTTGTATATGCAACTGAAAAGAGGTAGATTCCTCCATGTGATTTGGAGACAGTAAAGTGAGAAGTCCTCAACTACATAGAAGGACTGATGCATGTTCTGCTACATACACAGAAAATTTCTTTCTCAAATATTTTCCTCAACTTGTGAAGTTTAGGGGACCAAAGAAAATGGGCACACTGGAGTGGCAAAAGGGCAGCCTGGGTATAACCCCAATCGTCCTTTTTTTTTTTTTTTGTACCTTCAAATCAGTGTTGATTCCTGGTGACTGCCTGGACTAGTCCCTGAAGTTTCCTTGGCAATTTTTTTTTTCAGAAATGGTTTGCCATTGCCTCCTTTCTAGGGCTGAAAAAGAGTGTCTGGCCCAAGGACACACAGCCAGCTTTGTGCCTAAGGTGGAACTCATGGTCTCCCAGTTTTAGCCTGGTGCCTTCACCACTACACCAATCCTCCTCATGTATGTATAAATAACACCAGTGCAACATTTCTGCTGCCATCAGAAAAGGAGAATCAAGCAGTTTAATCATCAACCATCCATCAGTTTTACAACTTGGCCTCTTTAACAGGCTTGTTTCAAAGCACGTTCCATTTTTGCCTCTATTTTAAGTTATTGTATTATTATTATTATTATTATTATTATTATTATTACTATTATTATTATTATCCATCCATCCTTTTGAAGGATTCTGTGGCCATAAAATCTGTTTATGAATCAAAATAAAATGAGCAGCTTGAACACTCTTCTTTTGGATAAGCAAGTTTCTGTTTAATCAAATAACATTGCAGCTCAGTGATGATGGTGCGGAGAGGGAATTTATGACCTTCTGAATCAACTCAGATTAATACCATGATAGATTCAGAGATCAGGGAGCTCCTGTTGTGTGGGCCAGAACATACCCAGGGATAGCATTGCACAAACCACAACAGGGCTGCTTCATTTGCCTTTGCATGGATTCACAATTAAAATACCTGAATATTACAAAGGCCACGAGCTTTCAGCTCATCCAGAATGAAGATCTGGAAGGTCTCAAGCAAGCCAGAGTAGTCAGGGCTGCAGGTCTTCTTGGGAGGCAAGATGAGCTGAAACTGGGTTTGAATCTGAACGCTCTGGAATGGCTGGATTCCTAAACACAAGACAAAAGAAATCAGGGTTAGACCAAGGATCCAACAACATTAGTCCCCTTAAGACACCTTCTTCATTATTTTCTTCACATACATTTGAAATTCAAGAAAAGCAATTAAAAAGCAAAACCTTTCACCCAACGAAGAACACCTAACTTGTCTTAATTCAATGTTAATACTATAGTAATGGCATACAAACATCTAAGAGCTAAGTTATCCCAAAGGTGGTAGGGAATACATTTGTAGGATGGGTGGCAAAAGTTTAGCCCATTGATTCCCAGCTGTGTAATGGAGAAAACAGAGTTTGGCAAGATGAGATTCTTGAAGGCTTTCTAGTTTCTTATAGTGCCCCAGCAATGCAAGGTGTATTCTGACAGCGACAGAACACAGCCGTACCTCCATCCTTAACAAATAGGCAACAGGTTTACCCTCGGGGAGGCCCAAGATCTTCCTTATGAAGTTGTTTTGGACCGCTTCCAACTGGGGAATGACCTTTTCATCCCACCTCCAGATCTCAGCCCCATATAACATCTGGACTATCACCTTGCCTTGGAATGTTTTAAGTACAGGGGCCTGGCACTGAGTGGTACTGTACGTGCACAATGTCCAAAGCACTTCTTCTGAACTGTTTTCAAAGTATGCACTGCCCTAAAATTAAGTATGTTTAGGATGGCAGGTTAATATGTGGGATGGGGGCTGCACTTCTGAATGTTTCTTGGTCTGTAAAATACAAGATAGGAAAAGAAAGGGGTGAAGAGAAAAAAAATACTCTTTGCAACAAGTAATAAGCTGTCAGTTGTTGCAACAAGTAATAAGCTATTAGTTGTCTTGTTTTTAAAATGAAGCAATCAGTGGGCCAAATACAGCCCATTTTAGCCCTTTTAAGTCAGGAGAAAAGATCTGAGCAGTTGCTTTTATCCCCCACTGAATATCTAGGGTTTAAAGTTTGCCACCCTCTCTTCATGTATCTAAGTGTCCAGGGGTGTTTGTGGGTGTGTAAAAAAACCCAAGACGGCAGCTGACTTTTTTTGACACGCTACTTCCACCTCCTTGCCCCCTGAAGATGCCCAGGAATTTGATATAACAGAATTTTCTTCTGAGATAGCAAATTCTGCATTATGATTTAGGTAATTTTGTTTTAAATACATCTCCCAAATGGGGAGATTAGAGATCAGGCTGGGGAAAACTTTGAAATGAATATCCCACACTGTTTGGCAAGACTTGAATGTCATCTACAGGTCAGCTTTCCTCTAATCAAGAATTCTAATAAGCCGGATGGCCAAGCATATGAACGTACAAGGAATAACTCCATATTTCAAGATTCAGAAGAGGGTATTATTGTGGTTGTTGCTGTTGTTGATATTGTTATTGCCACAGCCCCAAAGGGGAAAAAGGGATACTGTCAAAAGACCAGGATGCAGAAAAAGTCAGTACTGATGGCAATAAACCTGGATTTTCAATTGCATCAGGGCCTGGGGGAAAGTACAGAAGTAACAATTAGAGATTATGTGCATGAGCAGTAAATGCCAAGTTTGAACATCTGGGGCTCATTGTCAGAGAGCTGCCGGTGCCTCTATCAAATCCATCATAAGCACGCTAACTTGGAAGGAAGTGCCATTAAAATCCCTGGAATTCATTCAGGCAAATGGATTTAGGATAGAGAGGCTGAAGCATTTAGCAGTTGCAGTTTTTAAAGGCAATGAACTAATTATTTTCTCCTCTTGCTATGATCTATACTTATGGGTGGAAAATAACACCCGTTAAATCCACAAATTTCCTCCAAAATTATTCACAGGAAGGAGACGGTTTTTTTTCTCTCTTTCAGACACTTTTCCAACATGTTCGAAGTATCCCATAGTTCAGAGCATGGAAGGGAAAGAAGCTTATAGAAATCAAACGATAGAACCAGTTGGCTTCTGAGAGCAATTCAGGGTGCTGGTTATAACCTATAAAGGCCTTCAAGTCATACGGCCTGGCTATTTGAGGGACTATCAGCCCTTCGGGGTAGTCCAGAACAGGAGACCAAAGTTATGAATGCTAATTCTACTTTTATTATCAGGTTACAATAACGGAATCTTGCATGTCTGAATGTGCCTCTCCGCTCCCTGCTTTTATGTTCCAAGATGTCTTGATAGCCTGGAGAGCAACTAGGGAGGGTCTATTCTGAGACACTTTCTCAAATTACATTCCTGCTTTGGACTCAGATTTCTCTTATCTGACTGCTGTCTTGGTTGCAGCTCTTCTTCCTGTTCCTCAAGGTTATTCTCACAGCCTATTACAGGGACGGCCTATCTCCAGTTATTTCTGTCCATCTGCTGTGATCAAGAAAGATGGGAGTGTTCTGGATCCCGTCTATCAAGCAATGTCATCTTGCAGGATCCAGGAGGTGCACCTACTCAGTTGAAGCACCTGCCCCCTAAAATGATCTCCCCCCCAGAGATTCATGTGGGTCCCACCCTTATGTCATATGGGAAATCATTAAAAACCTGGTCATTCTCCCAGGCCTTGGGGACAGGGTGTTTGTGGAGCCCCTTCTTGTTTTGATTCATTATGGTTTTGCCTGCTATTTTGCTCTTCTGGTCAGTGGTGTTTTTATATGTCGGGGTTCTTTTAACTGTAAGCCACCCAGAGTCCTTCTGGAGTTGGGCAGTCTCAACATTTGATAAATAAATATGTTTAAGCAGTTTGCAACATGAAAATGTGTGAATTCAGCATACGTATGGAAAAGTAGGGATGGGAGATAACTTACAGTAGTTTGGTTTCACTTCTAATGTAAACTTATCATGGTTCCTTTTTCCAAACCAAAACTTAAAGTGGGGTATTTTGAATCAAAATGAGTTTGCATGCTACTACAGGGTTCCGTGTGGGTTCTTCCCTGTCATACTTACTCTGACAGGCTTGAGAATGCGGAGGAGTTGCAAGCCAGCGGAGACTCTCAGTATCGCACAGAAGAGGATCGCTTTGGGAAAAGACGTCTTGATAGCCTGGAGAGCAAATCACTTGGCATTGCTGAGTCTTTGAAGTTGCAGTGGGGGTGTTGCAAAAAACCCCACCATTGCTCAGGTAAGAAGCATTATACGGTAAAGGACACTGTGGACCTGAAAGAACATGATAAACAGGGTCAAGCAGAGCAATGTCTTCAAATTAGCACTGCCAAGGAGACGTCATATGGGCTGCTGGTGGAAGAAGGAAAATGATCAAGTACTGAGCAAGTAGCACAAGACCAGAAGTTGCCCAAAATTCCAACCTAACTTGGAAGCATTTCATTTGGGGTTCTTCTCTTCATTGAGTTCCATCTCCCTTTAAAACTGACATTTCCCATGAAGCACTGGGAAAATCCTTTCTATCTCTTCCACAGGGCAGAACTTCTCCAACATGGTGTCCTTCAGAGAACACTGGCCATGCTGGCTTGGAATTCTTTACATATCAACATAAGTGCAGATGTGCAGACACATGTGTGCACACACACACACACACACTTTTTTTCCTTTGTTTTCATTGTTCCTATTGATGGTATTTTAGTCTTTGTCTTGCTTAGTTTCTTCAATTAAAAAGAAAGAGAAAGAGAAAGAGAAAGAGAAAGAGAAGCAGACTTCCCATCTGCAACTATTAAACATAAATTGGCCAAGCTGGAACACAAAACTGGGGAAGCAATATGCTAATCCTAGATATCTCTATTCAAGTTAGTGATATCTAGCTGACAGAAAGGGTGGAAATGAACATAACACAGAAAAAGGAGAACCTGTGTGAAACTGGTGTTAACACGGATTGACCCAGCCAGGAGGGTTGGCAAGGGGGTCAAAAAAGTCAAGATGGCATGATGACCATGCAATTGAATCCCTGCCCCTTTTTTAGGTTTGACTTTTTCAACACCCCCGAACACTTCTGCAATTCCTTGGAGCTTGTTGTGTGTCTTCTCCTTGTAAAGCTTCAGATAGATGGTTTCTTACCCATCTAATCAGCCCAGCTCCAACTGGCTGTACCCCAGCAGTAAAATGAGATGGCACAGCTCAAAATTGGTAATAAAGACTGCACCATTTCACACTTCAGGAATCATACTTCTGAATGCCTTCCATTTGAGAAAAAAAACTCTCACGTCAAAATAGGGATTTCATTACAGCAATAATATGATTATGATAGAAGGGTAGTGCCCCTTCTCATTTTTCATCTTGCAAGGACCCCCTCTTATTTTATTTTTTTTAAAATAAAGGCCCTTATCCCCAGCTCTGTAAAGGCTGAAGCAGGATTGCCCATCCCACGACTTCCACATTTTTCCCCACGCTTCAGAAGCATCTGCATTTCAGGACTCATTGCTATCTTGAGAAGTGTTATTTTGCACAGGCAACAGGAATGTGGGTGGACGTAAGCTCTAACGTCCATGGCACTAGAAATCCTGACACGTTCATGACCAGGAGTGCTAGATAAAGGCTGCCAACCATCCTGGGGGGATTCTCGTTCAGATGGAAAGGATCAGCCGAATGGAAAACCTTGCTGGATGCAAAGAGGCATTCCAGGGCCACTGTGCTCCTGCATTTGCTGTCTCCCTCAGGGTAAACAAGACTGGATTTATTGTTTTTTCCCACTGCTGCTATCTCATCTCCTAACAGGCTTTACTGCATTCACTGAATTTGGGCTTCGCTTGCAGGAAAAGTCTTACTAATGTGTTGGCTTTCCTTGGCAGTTAACAGGAAGGAGGAACAAATCCAAGGAAAAAGAAGACTCCTGTAGGGCTTAGAAATGAAATTTGGGATCAAAACCAGCCACTGTTGAGGGGGATCCAAATTTAGAATTTATCGTTGAAGCCAAATTTCATTGGGCTTACAACTGCTGTATGTCTAGCATTACCTGTAAATTCCTTTGGTTTCTGCTTCTCAAATAAAAGAAACTATTCACAGAAGTGTGCATTAAGGAAAATAATTTGCTGCAAGGAACAATAAATTGGACTGCATCTCCAGATTGGCTGGAAAGTCTGCCAAAGGACTTGAATGCGAGTTTTGTCTTGCTAAATGAGCTTGAAGTCTACATAGCTTGAAGTCAGCAGAGTGAAAAGGCAATGCTTTGTCTGCACTGCAGGGAACAGGGAGAAGTTGCACTGTGCACAGAGGAAAAATAAGTATGTAGTAGAGAAGCACAGGATGAATCCTTCCACCTGATGTGCTGCCTTTCTATCTGCAAGGGATTTGGAGACAAGAGCATTTCAAACGTGTCAACTTCCACCAGCGGCCTGACTTGCTACAAGCCCAGGAAAAGTTGTATCAGTTGATTCTGCTCCAAAGGGCTCCAAAGCCATCCCTTGAGAAAACAGGCCTTTTGACAAGGAGACATTCAACAAGATAGCTTGTTTCCCACCCAAGCCCAGTTTTCTAAGGCCAGTACAATAACATCCTTCTCATTTGCTCCACTTGTTATGACTGAAAGTAGAAATTCATCCCTTTTTCCATGCTCTCTGAAAGTCCACTTTAGCACAGAAAACACTCTAGCGAAGTATTCATCCTATCAGTTCCCTCTGAGTGCTAAGAGATTTTGTTGTATTATTCCATCAACCACACTGTGAGGTCCTTTAGGGAGAGGAAGAATGTGGCTCACCAAGGCTGGCCAGAGAGTTTTATTTTCAGGCTAGACTTCTGTTGCAGAATTAGCCTCATCCAACACATATCCAACACGCATGTCTTGTCTCAAAGCAAAGATGCATTAAAAATCAGTCACCTAATGTTAGAATAAAAGCTTGTGAGTCACATTCTCCCATTTGCTTGGGAAAATGAGATCTGCATTTCCAGAAATCCTCATCCTGCCACATTGCCATCCAAACATTATCATCCCCTTGGTTTCCAAAGTGTGACTCACGTTCACAGGCAGGCCTCTGGCCATTAACTCGGGTCCCTGGAGCCTCCTGACCATTGTCAAAGACACACCAACAGCTTTCTTGGTCTTCACTGCATTGCGTGGAGGAGAAACCCTCACGGTCACTGTCACACCGGGGGATGTAGCCTTTACCCATTTCCCGCACCAGAGCCTTCGATTTCAACAGACTGCAGTAGCTGGGGCCTTCAGAAGAAGCAGCAGATGGTGAAGGACAGACATTGTCTGAAGTAATAAAATACAGCTGCAACCGTAACAGTTTCACCCACTGAGGTCTGCATTTTCATGGCTCTTTTAGCACTCTGAAAGTGGATTGCTAATATGCAATAATCCATATCCAGAGATTAAAGGATGAGGGAGAAAAAAAGAAAAATAATTTAAAAAGCAGGATTAAAGCAATGGTGAAATATACTGTCAGCCCTTCAAGGTAGTCCAAACAAGAAGCACCAACCATGAGTATTGAAAGCACCTTTATTGTAAGGTTATAGTAACAGAATCTTGCAAGTCTGAAAGTACGTCTCCCCTCCCTTACTTTTACTTTTCCGAAAACCAGGGAGGGTCCCTTCTGAGATGCTTTCTCCACTCCCACCCCTCCTTCAGATCCAGATTTGATTTATCAGACCATTGTCTAGGTTGCGGCTCTTCCTCCTGTCTCCCAATGTCATTCCTACATACCATTACACATATAGATATATACACTATGATAACTTATACATACGGTTAAAGATTGGGAACATTAAAATAATATTTTTCTATTAATATTCTCCTAAGGCTGATTATCTGGTGACAAGAAAGGGATATTCTCTTGGCACTAACATTATTGCTGCCAAGAGAACACCCCTTCCTTGTCACCAAATAACACCCCCCACACACACTTTAGAAGACAAGATTACCTGAAGGAGAATCCCTCCATGCCTAGGTAAGGTTGTAGGATCAAAAGTTAATTAGAAAACAATTGGAGGTACTTACAACGAACCTCGCCATTGGAATCAATTTCACTCTCTTTCATTACTTCTCCCGACACAGGGTTCAGACACCAGGCCTGTGAATCCAATTTCTGAATGTTGGCATAGTCTCCATTCTAAAATAAGCAGTTATGTTATCATTGGAAAGTGGCAAGCACTGTACAAGACTGGTGTTATTAAGGACCAGAATTCTAAACAAAATTTAAAGACTGGCTAATTCACACAACCATTAGCATTTTCTGCTAATTGAATTCATCTCTATACTACTCATCCTAAAAGATAGGACTGCCAGTGGCTGAGTGTGGCTGATCCCAAAGAAGATAACGTAGGATTCAATGAGATTAGTATTAGTATGTAAACTAGGTTGGGAAGTCAAACAAAAACCCATACCTGAAGATGGCAATGGCAAAGTATGTCTGTGTTGATGCCAAGAAAATAACACAATTGTGCCCATGTAGTCACCAAGGGTTGAGCTCAAGGATATCTTCTCTTACATACTGCTTATCTAAGACATGGACAGCCTACAGACTGTGGTCATGTATGGCCCCTGAGCATTCCATTTGTACCCCAAGATGTCATTGACATTTTGGCTCATTTTTCAAGATTTGGGATAATTTTAAGGTGGGAATGGTTTCCCTCTGGGAAGCTTCCTGCTCCCATTCCCACTCTTAAAAGCCACCAAAAAGCCCCCCCCACCAAAAAAAGTCATTTTCTAGGTTTGGGTTGGGAAGGTGGGAATGGGAGGTATTGGTCCTGAGATTCTCATTGCCGTTTCTGCCCTTGAAGCTCCCCCAAAGGCTAGTGAAAATCAGTGACAGCCTTTCCAAAGCCACCAGAAGGCCTCTGTTGGTCCTTGCACATGTCAGGAGACTGACTTGTGGTCCCCAACTCCTCATACCTTGTCCACCCCTGAGTTAATAGATCCAAGAAAGTATCTCAAAGGCATCCAAAATCCAAAAAGTATCTCAAGGCATTACAGAAGGCATCAATCATCCTGTTTCCTATAGATTTTGGAATTATGGAATCTAGCATGCCCTCGTCCTAAGAAAGATAATGGTGGGGAGGAGGGGGAGTAATATTTTTTAGTGAACCTGGAATTAGCCACTTTTCCCCCTGAAAAAAACACAAATATCCCAACATTCAAAAGAAAAGTATAAGGCTGTAATAATCAAAATTCAATTTTCAGTGTTATACAACTTGCCTCTAGGCAGGATGGCGTAAACAGATCTGCTGTAGCAGCATTCTGGCTCTGTCCTTTCATTCTCCAACTGGCAATCTGTGCGTTCCCTTGGGAACGTTGACATGATGTCTGACCTGCATTCAGATAATTTTTTCCAGAGTAATATGTATTCCAGCTAGCAAACAAGTCTGCAGACCCACTTATTTCTTCACCCCCTAGTAGCTAAAGATAGTTGCAGGTAGTAAAGAAACCAGATTTTTGAAACTACCAAGAGTTCACTCCAGCCAAAGACATCAGCAAGTAGTTCTTCAGTGGAAGAAATCCAGCCCCAGAATCACTTCATCACTCCAAATGAGTGAGCCAAGGAGACACTACGCTCCCCAAATCTCCAGGGAAAGCTCCAAAAATTTCTCACACTGAAGACTGTGAGAAGACTATATATAAAATGCCTATCTGGCCATTCCAGGGATGGTCCTGTAGTTTTCTGAAAATATATATTCCAGAATAGGAGGTGGTTCATGATATTCTGGGTGGGGTTATTCCTGGGATGAGCCAAGAAGTCAAATTTTACCAAAAGAAATTTTAGCTTAACTCTATATTTCATCTATTAATATAGGAATGTCTATAGGAATCTCTATGAGTAACATTTAATCATAGATCTGGCTAAGAAAGCTTTTGAGTGTTTTTATTCACAGCTGTTCCACGAAGACCTGAGTGCTAGCAGAAATTAACCCAGTTATGTTGATTCTTCCCCAGAAAAAAAGCTGGTTCAAAATGTTTAAGATGGCCAGAGGTCTTGTCTGTTCTATTTTATTTTATTTTTTTAGTGGAAAAAAGGCCACCCAAACTTGCAGAAGTATAGGAATCTTTGCAGAGACAACTTTTCTTATGTTTCCTAGACTGACCAAGTGATCATGCAAGAATACCTGGTAACTCCAAGAAGTGTTAAAGAAGCCCCGTAAGAGGCTTCTTCTGCTACAATCATGCAGAGTATCTTTGCTGATAAAGAAAATGCTAAGAACTTTCACCTCTTGCATTTTCTTTCTTTTTTTCAATTAAATGTTTAAATAAACCAGCAAGAAAACGAAAGCAAGAAAAAGGAATAAGGGAATAAAATACAAATGCATAAACAAGGGATTCACAAATGTCATGGAAGTTACAGTTTTCCAATAGGTCATTAGTTAATTGTGAATAACTGTATATATTGTTTTAAAATATGAAAGTTGTTATTAAGCTCAGCCAAGCATGAATCTTGAATAACCATGATCCAAACAGAATAAATCATTAAGATAATAAGCTACAATAAATTTATCCATATTGCTAAAAATCTGTTCTGATTTACACCTCTTGTGTTTTCATCCACCTTTACTCCTAAACAAGGGTTGGGTAATCTATGCCAGTAATAAAATGCCACCATCAAAATTCACTACCTAAATGCCCTATTCATGTTGTGATTTTTTTTACCCCCCCCCCCCCCCAAAATTAGGGTGAGAATAGGAATGGAGTCCTGCAGAAAGCAAATTATTCTTGTTTTCCCCCCTCCACAACAGCCCAAAATCACATTGCTGAAATCAGCCACTTGGCTTCAAAATTTCACCCGCCTGATTTTCAATCTTGGGGAAGGTTGGAGTGGCCATTAAAGGTGGAGGTGAAAGTTCTTTGCTTTCCAGAGATCTCCTACTTCCATTCCATCTGCAAACCCCTCTCTCAAAGGAAAATAAGGTCATTTTTGGTACTGCTCTATTCTGTAATGGCCATACCATGCCAACTGACTGATGGAGCAACTTCCTACCCGCATTTCAAGCAAAGTTGACCATCAGTGCCCTAAAAGGACTACTGCAATATTTTTATTAAAAATTTGGACATTTCACCCTGAGTTCACACTCCTACAGTTTTATAAACTTATGCTATTTTCCTCCCTCCTCTGTATTGCTAGTTAAAGGGCAACAACCCAACTTCAAAGACCAAAACTTACACTGGGGCAGTTGTGTTGAGCGTGTCACCAAAGAATCTGAAACATAACGTCCCATCTCATCTACACACCAGCAGTGACCTGAGATGCAACAACAAAAAGATGTGTTTTGGAACCACTTTGCAAAGACATATTCCTTGCGATACATGAGTGGAATCAGACAACAGAGTTGAATAAAGAAATCATTGTATTGAACTTGCCCTGGCAATTAGTTTTGTCTGAATTGGCCACCATGCCTCAAAAATCAGAGCAGCCATAAGTCTCTAATAATCATCTCACCAAAAGAAGCAGATCCTATGAAACCTGCATGGCTTTCCCAATTCTTGAAAGTCCCAAGTTTCATGGTGATGGTTGTACTTTCCACCTCTTCAGTTGGAAGAACATTCCAGGGCTGGTTTTTATAAGGTCCCTTTATTGTGATTAAGTTTTTGCAAACTGAGAGCTAGTTGGGTGTAATGGATAAGGTTCTGGACTAGAAACTGGGAGACTGTGACTTCTAGTCTTTCCTTAGGCATGAAAGCTGGTTGGATGGCTTGGAGCCATTCATTTTCTCTCAGCCTAACCCATCTCCCAGGCTTGTTGTGGGGAAATTAGAAGGCAGGAACATTATGAATGCCACCTTGAATTATATATAAGAAAGGCAGGATATAAAGATAATAGTTATTATTTATATACAAATGCATACAGGGAAATAAAAATAATAAGAGTAATTAGACTCATATTTGCCATGTAACCTGGGAAGGAAGAGAAAGAGGAAGGGGAAGGGGAAGGGGA